AGTCCCCGAGTTTAGCCCAGAGAAGGCTCCAGTCCCCGAGTTTTGCCCATAGAGGACTTCAGTTCCTGAGTTTAGCCCAGAGAAAGTTCCTGTTCCCAGGTCTAGCCCAGAGAAGGCTCCTGTTCTCACGTCCAGTCCTGAGAAGGTTCCTGGTCCCAAGTTAAGCACGCTCACAAATGCAAGCCCACCCACTCTATCCTGCCTCCTCCACCGCTGTCGTCTGGCAGCCCCTCTGCTCACCCTCAGCCCATCATCTATACAGTGCGAGCTCCGCGGGTCTGCCATCCTCCATCGGTTGGAGTATCCCTTGACTCTGCCTCCAGCCTCTAAGCCCCGAACTCCGCCTCGGCCCGTGGACCCATTGGCTCCACCATGGCTCCTAGCTCCCTCCTCTCCGCCGTGGCTCGGCAGTCCACTAGCTCCCTCATTCCTCCGGCTCCGCCTTGGTCTGGCATTGACCATCCTGCGACACGGGAGTCCACTCCTCCGGCTGCGCCTTTGTCCCTTCGTCCCTCCGGCTCCGTCAGGCTCCTTCATCCCTTCGGCTCCTCCTCAGTCCTCTGTCGCTCCAGCTCCACCACGGTCGGTGGCCATTCCTCCTCCATGGCTCCTCCCTCCGTCGGCTCCACCGTGGGTCGCTGTCATGGCTGTGGCCTGGGTCCTGCTTGGCCCTTCCTGCTCCAAGTCCTTCCTGTCGCCTCCCTGGCTCCTCCCTCCATCGTCACCTCCCTGGACTCTGTCTGCCGGCCCCCTCCCGGGTGTCCATCCTTCTCCCGAGCCTCCTCCCAAGTTCCCACCCGTGCCCCCCCTCTGTTGTTCTATGGCGCGAGGATGCGCCTTCTGGGAGGGGGACGATATGTCACGCCCCTGGACTTTATCTGTGTGTTTTTCCCTCTCCATGTGCCTGCCCTGACCTAGTTGTCCCATGTGTTTGATTGCTCATTAGTTCCAGGTGTCTCTCGTCATCCCCTCGTCAAGTCCTGTGTATTTATAGTGAGTCCTGTTCTGATTTTTTTTGTCTGGTATTGATTGTTCGTCTTTCCCCGTAGCGTGCGTGTTCTTGGTTCCATTGATGTTGATTAAAGTCTGTTTGTTGGAAGTCTACTCCACATCTCCTCGTTCATCGCTCCGTGCTCCTCACAGTAGCGCATGACAATATGCAGTTCAAAGGCACTTCATTATTTATTTATTTATTTATTATTGTTATTTGTTATAAATGGATTGTTAGCCTTAATGCAATTATACACAAAGAGATAGCAGCGCATGGGTTGCTAATCAGGAATTAGTGCTAAAGCTAAATGCTAAATAATTAAAGCATGACCCCATCCCCCAAAGAAAGTCGAAACAATGGGTTTGGGGTTTGGCATAATTACGTTTTAACATTTCAAACAGCATTCAGTAACCACAAAAGTCAATGTGCACTTATATTGTAGCTACACTATGACACAATCAATTAAAGGGTTAGTTCACTCAAAAATGAAAATTCTGTCATTAATTACTCACCCTCATGTATGCTATTCTGTGTCAGCTGCGTCACGTGGATACGTTGTTTTCGTTCAAATCAAAGCGTAAACAACGTAGAAAACCTATCCGCATGACGCAGCTGACACAGAATAGCATACGCTGATTGTTGAATTCAACGAATTGTTGAATTGTTAAAGTTGTTATTTTTGTTTTCTTTGTGTACAAAAAGTATTCTCG